TCTCATGTACAGGAATTATGTTTTTGTGCCTTTTGTTCTCTGAAGATTCTTGAAGAAGCTTAGTGATTGTACTTTTTAAAAAAAATTAGATTTAGAACCTTCAGTTTACCACTCTGTTCCAAAAACTTAGAGTGGCTTCCACATTACTTCCACATTACTTTCTAAATATTACGTTTCAAAATAAAAGATGAGTCTGTGTTCCCAAAGGGCTCATCAGAATTTCAGGATGAAACCAATGAACCCCTGGTGATTAACACAAACCTATGATTGTCTCTGTTATCCTCTCGAAGCAAAAATCTATATAATATCACAAGCTTGTCATTTGTGGAAGAATATTCCAACACTGAATTCAGTTGACTGGTTTTACACAGAGGGATATCTGTGCTATTTGTCTCAGGGTTGTCTGGATAGGGCAAAATGATTTTTGCTATTATTACTAGGAGTATTCATAATTATATGACAAAATTTTGCAATTCCAATGTGCTTTCTCCTCCACAAGATATTTCTGAAATTCCAGATGGCTTCAGTTTTCTCCATCTGTGGACAGACATTTAGAGGATTTGTTTTGAAAGGAACACTTCACCATTGTAAGTAGACACGTTTGTGAAGTTTGTGGTAAACTATGGCTATATATGTTATCTGTAGAAAGTCTCTGCTTCTGCAAAATACAGCAGACTGTGAATGAAATAGTAGAGATGGCCAGCACATACTTATTAATGATTTTTGTTGTTTTTTATAAAGTAACCAAATAAAAAGTATGCATTTAGATGTCACAACAAACCTCAGTTTGTTTGTGATATGTGTGCATGGAAGGCCATTGGATTGCATTCTTCTTCCACTTCTCCTCTCTTCAAACTTGACCAGGAAATTTAAGACTTCCTGGGTCTATTTAATTATATTTTGTAATGACACCCAGATCATTTCCCTTCAACACCAATACTAAACTATAGTTCAGAATCCTGGTTTGTAGATAAGACAACAAGCAACAATTTGTCATTTCTCTCTATTTGGAATTTATGACACATTACTGTTTCATACAACCAGGAAGTTTTTGATTTTCTGTCCACACAAGCATGGGAAGGAGGTCAAGCCACAGGGTTTCTTTGCTGATTCTCACAACAAATTGAAGTTTGTTTGTGATGTCTGAATGCAGCCAGAGAAAAAAAGGAAAAGGGGAGACAAAAATGACAGTGATATATACTGCAGCTTACATAAAGAACAAATTATAAGAATAAACATGCCTGGAAAATCTACAACTAATACTTTATATGCTTAATATTTTTGCATAACAATTAATGAAACTAAGAAGATTCATATATATATAAATGCTTCCCAGGACACCAGAATCACCATTCACGAACACAGAGAGTATTCCCCCCCTTTTCCTTTTTAAAAAGTCTGGCTTTACAGGATCTCTGGAATTTTAGTTTCCTGAAATGTTAGTTTCCTATCAAAGAAACCACCTCTTAATATCTCTACTATACACATTGATTGCTCCTTTGTTCCTGACCCTTCTGAGTACGCTGTCAATTTTTCTGGCAAGAATCCAGTGGCTTAACAGGCTTTAATAGCTGCTTGACAGGAAGAAATGTAGAAAGTGAACATTTTTCCATTCACCTCTGTGCAGGAGAAACGTTCACTAGCTGTCTGTTGCACAGCAGACAAAAGCACAGGAGCCATGCAAAAAGAAAATCACGTTAGCACCCTACTTCTGGGTGTTTCAAAATGTTAGCCTGGCCCTATATATTTTCTTACATCTGGATTATCTGAAAGATCACTGAGGATTACAATACAAATATACAGATCAAGTGGTGGAAGCTGAAGGTCAAACTACATATGATTTCTAACTAGTTGCAACCAGGTCCTGGACCTGACTCACTTTCCCCACAGCCACAGGAATGATTTCTTTAGAATTCTGCAGGGGCCCAGTTTGGCTCAGGTTTCTGCACATAAGAACATAAGAACATAAGAGATGCCAATGTTGGATCAGGCCAAAGGCCCATCCAGTCCAACACTCTGTATCCCACAGTGGCCAGAAATACCAGTGCCATCAGGAGGTCCACCAGTGGGGCCAGGACATTAGAAGCCCTCCCACTGTTGACCCCCCCCCCAAGCACCAAGATGACAGAGCATCACTTGCCCCAGAGTCCCTATCTATACCTTGTGGCTAATAGCCACTGATGGACCTCTGCTCCATATGCTTATCTAATTCCCTTTTGAAGCCGTCCATGCTTGTAGCCGCCACCACTTCCTGTGGTAGGGAATTCCAAGTGTTAATCACTCTTTGGGTGAAGAAGTACTTCCTTTTATCCGTTCTAACCCGACCGCTCAGCAATTTCATGGAGTGCCCACGGGTTCTTGTATTGTGAGAAAGGGAGAAAAGTACCTCTTTCTCTACCTGCTCTTTCCCATGCATAATCTTATAAACCTCAATCATGTCACCCCTCAGTCGTCGTTTCTCCAAGCTAAAGAGCCCTAAGCGCTTTAACCTTTCCTCATAGGGAAAGTGTTCCAACCCTTTTATCATTCAAGTTGCTCTTTTCTGCACACAGCTCCAAAATGGAGCAAATAGTCCCCCTCCTAGTCAGGCCGTTTTGGCTTGGGAAAATAGTATGGGGGGGGGGGAGCAGAAGCAGCACGTCCTTACTCACAGTGCAGTCTTAAGCCAAATTAGGTCCCCACTTACTTTTGAAATATTATTTCCCACAGCTGCTGTTAAAAAATTGTCCTGTGTAGTTTGGCTTTGAAAGTACTCTGCCTTTTGACAACTGTTTTACCCCTATAAAAAGGATGGATAGATGTGGATTTTTTATTTAGACAAATAAAAACCAAAGAATAGGACAGGATGCTTGCATATATTGGTGTGATCATAGTTATAGCATCAGTAGTGCACAGCTGTGTTTACAAAGTGTATCACCAATCAGGGCTGGCCCCAGTCACCATACCCTGTAACTTTTTTTCTGGTCAGAGCAGACAGGTCCATCAGGCAAAGGCTGATAGATTCTTCAAATCATATGGGAGGGCCACATGTTACCCTCACAATTCCATAGCACAAAACTCCAAAGCTTCAGAAAGTCTCGTTTAGTAGCTGAACACAGATATTTTAAAAAATGAGTATAACTCCAACCACTGTGGGACTCAACAAGATCAGTCCCAAATAGTCGATTTGGTATCATTAATAACCACTCTGTTCATACTGTCAGGAAGAAAAGTTTGAAACTGTTTGCGCCTTTCTCCTCTTAGTTTCTAGGTGTCTTGGTAAAATGAAATAGTTCACAATACCATAAGCACATGTTTCAGGTAGGAAGTTCACTTGCAGTAACAATATTGTTTCATGGCTGGCAGCACAATAAGAAGAACCTTAAGAACTGCCTGACTGGATCAAAGTAACTTCCATCTAACATCCAGCCAACCAGAGGCATCTGGGTGTCAAGAGCAAGGCATGGAAGTAACTTGCCTGCATCTGCCCACAAAAGGCTTCATTTAGCTGTCCAGGCCATGGATAGAAGTGGATTTCCCCAATGCTTTCTAGGGCCATTGGAACTCTTGGTCATAACCCAATTTTGTGGTGGTGAATTCTTTATGCTTACCAGACGTTGTGCTAAGAATGTCACCGTCTCATCAGTCCTGAATCTGTTGCTAGTTATCTTCATTGGATGGCTCTGAATTTTAGCCTTCTGCTATAAACAAAGGTGAATTTGCCATACCACTAAATTATTATAGGTGGCCCTTGTGAGCAGGGCTAAATATTTGGGACAAGGGGACAGGGGGAACATTTTGCAGGAGAGAAAGTGATGCCTGCATGATACATATCGGAAATCTTCTGTGTTGTCAGTGCTGAATCATTCCACAGTATATGCCAGTGGCATATGCCTGAAAGGTCTGTGCACATAAGTAGGTGGGAAAGCGCATCATTGCAATTTTTCACCTGGGATGCCCATATGCCGAAAACCACCCCCAGCCAGCAGCTTGCCCAGCAGCCCATTCTCTAGGTATCCGTTTTTGGATTAGTAGGTCGGGAAAGGCAACCTGGTGTATGTGTTTTCCCTGGAAGGAGTGAGCTGATTCCTTTGCATGAGTAAATCTTGACCAATCTGCGCGTGTCTCTTTCTCTAAAGCACCTGCTCACGGCCTGGCATTGCTTGACCTAACTGGCTGCCTCCTCTGCCACAGGTAAAAAGTGTGAAATCATGTGGGGGGAGGGAGAGTACCCGAAGATGGTTTAGTCTCAGGGGAGGGTGTCTGGGAAATTGCTGGCCCAGATTTACTCACCCCTTTCTAGAATCTGTAGGGCCCATTTTCGTCGTTTTTTGGGGGGGGTCTACTGTTTTTGGGGGATGATGATGTGTGGGTGATAACTTTCTTGACAGCTGCGCAGCACAGTTCGGAGTGGCTCCCTGCAGCCCCCTCCCCCTGTCGGGTTCCCGCGGGGCTCTTCAGCCGAGGGAGCCTTCGGCGGAGAGCACCTCCCGGCGCCCGATTAGAGCCGAACCATTAGAGCCCTGGAAACGAAGCCCCAGCTGGGGGGGGGGGGGCGCCTGCGCGTGGCCAGCGCCGGCAACACTACAGACACACGCGCACACACAGGCGCGCACATGCATCCGCTCCCCTTCCCTTCTGCTCTGCAGCGGCCGGGCGGGAGGAGGGAGAGGCAGGCGCTGGCGGTCTGCTCGGAGGACACGAAGGAGCGGCTCCCCAGGGCTTGAAAAGAGGCTGCCTCTCCCTCCCGCCCTCCTGAATGGAAGCGCGGCTTCGCCGAGAGCACCCTCGGATTTCGCCTGCCTGCCCGGGAAGCGCGGTCGAGAGGCGGAGACAGGCGGGCAGGCGCGGCGTGCCAGCCAGGCGCTCTCGGCTCCGGGGATTGCGATGCTGCTGAAGGGAAGAAGTTGCTTAGCATCCCTCGCCCCTGCCCGGCTGCCGTGAAGCCGACGAAGAGATGCTGCAAGGCAGGGCGCTCGCCGCCGCCTCCTCCTCGGCTCCTCGGCAAGCGGCCGGTTCTCGGGAGCGCCAGCAGCAGGAGCAGCAGCCTGGGCGCCTGTGAGGGAGGCGAGCGCCGCGGAAAGAGCGGGAAGGGATTCTGGATCCCTCTTCGGACTCCTCGACGCGGTGCGGCCGCCGCCGGCGGGGGTTGGCGGGGGGGGGGAGAAACAACACCCAGGCGCCTTTGCCCGCCCCGGCTGGGCTGAGCGGAGCAGCAGCTTCTGCCTGGTGGATGTGTGTGAATGAGTTCTGCACCGAATGGGCGCAAAAAGCGCCCCAGGTCCACGGGCTCGATTTTCCAGATCAGCAAGACGCCGCTGCACGGCAGGGAAGGTGAGCGCCGAGGCAGCACCTCGGAAGGCGCCCACAAGACCCAGAGAGCCCTGGATGACTGCAAGATGGTGGGTAACCGGCAACGGCGCTTCGAGTCCCCCCCCCACCCTTCTTTCTTTCTTTCTTTCTTTTTTGAATGTGCTTCTGTTGTTTGCAGTAGGGGCCACTCCTCTTTTTTTCTTTCGCTTCCCCTCCCCCCTCCTCCACTCTCTCTC